CATGAGTTCCCACGTGCTTCAATCAAACATAGAAACAAAATAGTATGAATTTTCCAGAAAGTTTGTTATCATCAACTTACTTCCAACGTATTCTGTTCTTGAGTGTTTTTTCTATGAGACCAATTCCTTCCAAGACATTTGTTATGTCATATATCCGTCTCTTTTGTACCTGTTCCAGTGAAAAAACTTTTAACAAGTATGATCCATTATCCTTGATGTAAATATACAATCAGAAACATGATCACCTCCAAGGTTTCAGCTGCATTGTTTAGGTCAAGAATTCCATCATCAGCATGTTTAAATAGATCGACAAACCTTTTTGTCAAAAGACCTGAAAACATTAGTAAAATAAATATGAAAGCTTTCACAGCTATACAAGACAATCAAAATATATATGAAATCATCTTGAGTGCCAATATTTGAAAAAATACCAAGGGAACTATCATAACGACAGCTGCCAGCTGGAGTAAGAGGAGAAGCACAATCTGCAAGTTTACATATAATATTCATTAGGTTCCACTTATGTTGGTGATGCTTGGACAATAAAGATTTGTGCAAACCCTACTCAAAGGATGAAAAGACATAATCTATATACAAACAGGCTTACCTACAAAGGCTATGCAATTTTAAAGCATGAAAAAGGGATGCAAAAGAACTTGCAAAGTCGATAAATACATTTCCTCACCAGCCTTTGACACGGGGGTTTGAGGTCCTGCTCCACTGCCCTTTGAGGCCTTGGATTTGTTGTATGTCCTTCCTGCTTTTGCTGATACAGGTGTCCTGAAGGGAATATTAGATATGCTTGTGGATCCAGGACTGCTAGCACGATTGCTGGAGCCAACTCCATTATCATCCAATGCACTCTTCCGTTTTAATTGCTGAGAGATGCCAAAAATTACAACTTTGTGTTCAATGACTGGGAGAAGTAAAGCAAACTGTAACACCTCTTAAGAACATACGGTTATAAGCTGTTACTTTTATGATACAGCATTTCAGTGAAGGATTTCAACAAAAGGGATGTGTATGGCTGATTAACAGAGTATGGATTTGAATGAATGTTTACATAAGTAGATTATTGCAAAACCAAAACCCATACCTAAAAACAAAAGCAGAGAATAGGGATAGAAAACAAGTTAGCATCCTGTTATAGTATGTTTAGACTAGATAAGGGGAGGAAAAGAAGGGTAAGTAAAAGGGGCGTAGCAACCCTCCCCTTGTTTGCATGTATCAGAGGGGAAAGGAGAGTGGCATACCTTCTCCTTGTTGGGTTAAAGGAGCAAGGGGTTTTAAATTAAAAAAAAAAAAAGAGTAAAATAATTCTTTATTGTTACAGTGTGAAGGGATCATAACAGACGCTGTGGATTTTCTTAGAAGAGGAGTTACGTTGTGGTAATCCTTTCAATCCCCTCCCTACCCTAAAAAAAACTTATAAATCCTGGACCATTTGAAGGATTCGATACCCTCTCCTATCTTCCTTTCCATTTGAAGTCTTCTTGCCCAAACATGGTTTGGGTAATGAGACACGATTCTTATTCCCTAAACATGAATAACTCACTTGAACATCAGCGTGAGAATTTTTACGGACAACGGGCTTCCATCAAACACTAATATATTTATACCAAACAGAACAAATTACAAAACTCAACACCAAATCCAAAATTATCAGCAATAAAATAAGTAAAATGGGAAATCAAATTTCAAATAAACATCCATTCAGATTCTGCAAAAATAATAACTATTATAGTATAACTGTCAATCTCACAGCAGCCAAAATAAACCTCAATTTCTTTTCAAATTCCAAATTTTCCCTTCCTTTCACACAATTTCTCAGCAACCAAACACACCACAACCAAAAAAAAACAAACGCATTTAAAACACAATTTAACTTTCATTGACATCAAATACTCACACATACAATCCCTAAAAAACACATTAAAAACCGGCATGAAAACACAAAAATTAATTTAAAAAAATTCAAATGTTCATGAAAATCTTCATACGAATATAACAGCAGAGAGAAATTGAAACGCACAGGAGATCTCACAACAATAGCCTCGGCATCCCGGTCGGCGGTGACTCTACTAGTACTCGGTGAAGAAAATCGGTGATAATCATCAGGAGGAACAAACGATGGCTTCATCGTAGCAAATGCAAGCTGCCGCGTTAAAGGAGGCTGGATCGGTCCTGATGGAGGCGGCTGCGCAGCCGGTCTGGTTGAGGCTTTAGCGCTGCCGGACATAATAAATGAAACCTAAAATCAAAAATCGGAGTAAAAGAGAGATGAGATTATTTGATTGGTAAAAAAGATGATTAATTAATTTGAAGGCTAGAGAGAGAAAATGTGCTTAGAGAGAGAATGCAGGAGTGGGGAAAGTGGGGGTTAAGAGAGACAGCAGAAACCGAGGGAAGGAGGGAATTTTTTGTTTCGGATTTGGGTGGAGGGAAGATAATTATCTTTCTTTTATATTTTGGACCCTATATTTGTATTTTATTATTTTTTGACCCCATAACTCTTGGGGATTTTTTGGTGTTTTGAGCGTTGCGGGATGTGATTTGAAATTACTTATTTCTTATTTTTGGCAACATGTTGAGGAATTCACAATTTGTACCCCGAAGAGTGACAGAATCTTCCATTATGGAACTTGCTAAGCTAGCTTATAAGATGTCTTTCTGAAAATCTTGGACATTGGTGGAGCAACTCGTAAGCCTTTTTATTTAAGAAAAAACATATATCCTAAGTATCGCGCATAGACGGCATCATGATAATCATTTTTTAATACGGCATCATGATAATCATTTTTTAATACGGCATCTTCATAATAATCTTTTTATACTAAATTTTTTTATGGAAAATAAAAAATACTAAATTTTTTTATGGAAAATAAAAAATACTAAATTTTTATTGGTAAGAATGAAAAGGTGTTGTCTAATATTTTAATTATTAAAAACTTTAATGATGGAAGAATTTATATAAAAAAATTAATTACATAAATAAAAAATATTGATTCCTATAGTACCTTTTTATTTAAAATAAATTATATTTTTTAGCTATTTAATATAAACATAAAATAAGTTAATGTTGTAATTTTTAATCATTAATTTGTTTAATTATTAAAGTTGATTTACAGCAACAATAGAGTAGACTGTAGCTTTAGAGGTAAAATTTAGTTATTTTAGAGTTAAAATTATAAAAAAAATATTTTATATCAAAAATATATTTTATATACAAGTTCATAATCTTGTAGAAATAAAATAAATTTTTAATGCTTTTGAAATGTAAACTAAATTCTAATAAATAATTATAAATTAATTATAATAGTTATTGACTGATTTTTATATTTTTCAAAGTATAATAAAAAAATTATTTTTATTTTTCATAAAAATATATATAAAAATCTTTAGAATTTGATCATATACGTATGAACAAGAACATATTCTTATATTTTTTAAATTGAAAAAAATATTAATTTTTTATTTTAAAAAAACTTCAAAGAAAAATAAATATTTTTAATATTGAATTTGTATTTTACAATATGAATCTACAATTCAATATTAAGTAAAATGGTTGAAAAAACACATAAAGAAACAAAATTAATTTTAAAATAATCTTGAGTTTTTTTCAAAATTCCTAGAGGTTTTTTGTGGTCTTGTTCGAAAAAAATACAAAAATATCAACACCCCCCTTAACTAAAAATTAGATGCTTAAAATTTGTATATGGCTGTTCGGCAAGGTTATTTGACAATTAGCGAATTTGGTAACAATTTTACATTTTTCTTTCTTGACAAGCATCATCAGTTCACGCTATTTTCGCCATCTTCATGTGCATTCACCCTCGGTAATTACGTCGGCGGTTTCCTAAGTACTGTTTCAGAAACAAAAGCATTTGCCTTCAAGAATGCAGTGACATTGTTGTGCTTCGTCTACTGAATGGGAGTTTTAAAGCGGCAATTGCTTGGAGTCATGCCAAATCGAAAGTCTCATCAGCCTATGAAACCTCATCTTAAACAAGCAACTACCCGTAATAAAACACAGGCAATTCAGTTTCAATCAGCTATAACCGATCTCTTTTTGCTTTTGGTTTGATGGGTGGGCAGAGTTGAACGAGGTTTAAGGGGAGGAAAGAGAGAATTCACTGACGATTAGCAGGCTCATCGGTGGTTAGCTCAGCCGTGCATTGATTCGAGTTCAGCCATGAAGGGGTTGTGATGCCATGGGGGAAAAGGACCGGCGACACTGATCCAAGTGTCTTCAGGGTTTGTTCTGGAAAAGACTGATTCTCTCACAAAAAACCCATACCTGGGAGGAATAATCAGTAGAACATATCAACGGAACAAATAGCAAATCAAGTTATCCTGCGCAGCCAGTTGCCTAGGTCTCGTGCAAAAGACGGGTAGATTTCGATTTCGAAATGCCAAGATGCATGGCGACTAAATTGCAAACTGAATACAGCTCGATCAACCTTGGCCCTGTAAAGAACATGTCACTTAACAAATGTAATTCCTACCTCGACACCATACAAGTAAAGAAGTCTATACTTCGAAGGGAAAACCATCAGCTAAAGTCCAACAAAACTCTGATATGTTAACAAATAACCACGCAATTTTTCTCCTTGAAAAAAACCACATGCTGCAAAAGCATAGTCGCTTACCATGGCTGAAAATTAAAAACACAACTAATGAAAAGTCATAACTGTGAAAACTTGGCCCTCTCATTTTTTACCACCAACTCCTATGCCAGTGTCCTCTCCTTTCTCTCCACAAACATGACACATCCCTTGCTTCTTCTTCTTTTTATAGAAAGAGCACAGAACTCAAATTTCGTAGGGATTCCATCTGAAGTTTCAAGGCATACAATACCAATAAAAAAAAACAGTCATAACATTGCTTACTAGCAATTCAACTTTGACAACATACAGCTAGATGGAAAAAGCCAAAATCACCACAAGCATATAGATTCACAAGCAAATTAAGGTTAGTACAGTATAATAGACTAGATTATATGTGCAATGTAAGAAAGAAGACACCATTTCAATTGCATTACATTTATCAAACTTATTCTAATAAAAGGCTCCTGATAGAAAAAATTAAATGGCATAGATAACATAAAGATGCAAATTCACAGCCAGGAAAGTTCTGATATTTTCATCGGAAACGGCAGCCATACACCTTCTAACGTAAAATGTATGGGATTGACGATTTTTATCACAGCTGACAATAGCATACCGGCAGTGACACCATCTAGCCACACAGCAATCCAAGGATACATCCACCACACAAATATAAATTTACTCTGTGCTAGTAGAAGAATCAATGTCACAATTTACAGAATACAAAGGAGAACTTCTCAAAGGAACTGAAGAATTACAACAAACATCGATCCTACTTACAAATTGCGCCTCGCTTGTCTTTAACAATGTATGTAGAGGAAAATACAAACCTTTCTCAACACAGCATTGATGTCTAGGCTTAATTCTATTCTCTAAACTAAAAGAAAAATACTGTGGAAATTCTTTTAATTCCTTCAGATCCCTTCCCATCTCCACAACAAAATAATTCAACTTGGGCTCAATATTACTCTTAATGCTGAAATTAAACAGTTGTGGAAATCTCCTAAAGATGGAAACAGCATCTTCATGAGAGAACCCAATTTTCTCAAAGTATTGGATTCTTGGTAAGAGTTTCGTTTCAACACTACAAGACAGTAGATACGTGTGTCTTTTTACCTCTTCAAGGCCAATGTTTTTTAGGAAATAGAGAGCGGGGCGCAAGCAATGCTTGACGCTGGATACGAGCAATCTGGGCCGTCGGTTTATGACATGTTTTAAATCGGAGCCGCTGACGCGGGCTTCGCGGAGTAGGAAGGTGATGATTGGGGTGATAGTGGAAGGAGTGGAGTTAAGGATTTCCGGGCACATGGAGATGATTCGGCGGAACTCTCGTGGAGTGAAGTTCTTGGAGGTCAGTAAATCAATGATGGATTTGATGTTTGTTAAGGAGGCTGAGAGGATGATCGGACGGTGGTTGTTTATGAGGGAGAATATGTCTAGGCCTATTGAGTCAAGGTAAAGCATTTTTTCTTGAAATTCAGAATTGGGTGGCGGTGGAGGGGTATGGTGTGACGATATGGAGGGGATTTCTGGTGTTTTGAGGGGCTTAAGAGGAAGGGAAATGGTGTTTGTTTTGAAGGAAAGAGATGGAAAATGGAGGTTTCTGGGGCAAGAAAGCGGGGAGAAATAATCATGGAAGGATGATGCGGCAAGATTGTGTGATTTGGGATAAGGAAATGGGGAGGATTGGTTGCTGGTGTTGTTGGAGAGGAAATGGAGGAGTGTGTCTTGCATCGTGTCGGGTTACATTACATGGCTGATTGTGAGGGATGGTAATGTTAGTGTTTTTCTTTGGTTCAATGGAGTGGAGGAAATGGTGGTGGATAAGGCTCAAGAAATTTTGACAAGATGACTTGGAGATGAAGAACAGGAGCTGCTACTATCTGGATGAAATGGGACCATAGGCTTGTCCATGAAGAACAGAGACAGGCCTAGCACCATGGACTGGATCATTTGGGTTGTGCCAGTTTTATGTTTCTGGTTTCTAGCCCATAAACTAGCTGGACCTGGGCCATTTTTCTTTTGCCTTGTGCTATGACACCTATTTTGAGTGTTTAATGATGATTAACCATGTAATAAAAAAAAAACGACGGATAAAGATTTTTGGATTCAATTTCATTGTGTTTTTATAGTGATTTTATAATATTTTGGTGTTAAAAATAGAGTAATCTAAATTTTTATGACGTTTTTAAAGGTTTTTTTTTTAAATAAAAGTAAGTTGGAAATTAAGCTCTGAGAGTAAAAGAAATTATGCCTTGATTTTATTTATAGCGTCCATTGCAATTCTTCTTATAATATTGAGCGCACAAGTGCCCCATGAATTGGCTTGGACACTAGGTCGACATCTATTAAATTAATAATTAAAATACTATTTAAAAAGTCAATGAATTATAACATTCTTTTTAAATGATATTATAACTTTTATGGTTATATATGCAATAACTTTAGATAATTATATATGATTCTAATATTTAATAAATTGTAAAATAATTGCATTTAAATATTCAAAGAGAATAATTTATTTTTTATTTTTACGGTTTTAATAAATTAACTATTCTTTTGTTTTTTTTTCCACCAGATAAATAATTATAAAGATATCGTTTTTTTATTTGGAACTTGCACCTTTAGATTATGAGAAGTTTTTGTCTAAAAACATGATATCAATAGTTTTTTTTTCCCCGTAAAAGATAAATTAATAAGGAGATGGAAGTTTTACGTCCACAAATAACTTTTTTGCACACTTTAAATTATTGATATTTATATGAATATTTATTTTAATTATCTTTGATTTTTATTTAAAAAAATTTTTTAATTAAAATTTCAAAACAAAAAAATAAGAAACATGGAATTTCAACTTAAGAAATACATTTTCTTCTGTAAAATTTAATTTTTTCAAAGACTTGTGAATATTTATTTTTATAATTATATAATTATATAAAAATAGTTTTAAAAATTTCCTCTAGGCATCCCGTGAGCCTAAAATATAAGTAAAAATAAAGTGAAATTTTGATCTGTAAAAAATAAATGAACATAAAAATATTTTATAAGTGCATACTACAGAGAGAGTCCTGACAGTTGTCAGTTAATAGTAATATATGTACAATAAAATGAGAAATAGAGGTAAAAAACGTAATAAAAATATTTTCAAAATCAAGTTTATTTAATTATATGATAATTAAAATAAATATTAAAAAAATAAAGGATTAAAATTCTAGATGAAAAAAACAATTTTCTACTCAAAATATTTATTTATTTATCGGTATTTTTTATTTTTATTTTAACTAAACATGTAATTTTTTTTATTGGTGATGTAAAAATATGGTATAATTCGTGTTTTAAAAAATTAAATTTTTATATTTTATTAAAAATTATCTTTTATATTTTTAAATTATTTTTTATCTTTTAAAATTATTTTGATATACTAATCTCAAAAATAATTTTTAAAAATTA